CCTTGCCATCTCACTGTCCTTAAGGGTAGCCATGCTCTAAAATCAATGAACTTCTTGATCTGTGGAAGAAACTATGAGGGGGTATCCTCTTATAAGAAGGAGCCATTGTTAGAGACTTTGGGGTTGAGATGCTGAGTCTGAGTTCCCCCATAGAGGCACTGAGCATAGTCAAGTTCCTGGGTAGAGGTGCGCAGCCAGGTCAATAGGAGATGTCTGTAGCCTAGAAGTGATGGCTGAGGCCAGAGTCACAACAGGGGAGGGCTGGAGGTCTGCAGGACAACCAAGGCAGGAGACAGTCAGAGCAGAGCTGACAGGTCTGAGGGAGCATCCCCAGAAGTTCTGACTGATGCAGCATCACCCTTTTCCTCCTACTAAGTGTGTCTCATCACCAGGACTCTTGAAATGTGTCACCAGGGAAAGCAGGCCCCTTGGGAACAGGATACAGAGAGAAGAGTGTTCACAGTTGTAGTATTCCTAACAGCTCTGATCATGAAAGCAAGCTAACAACTGCAATTGCAGAATGGATCAGAAAGTGATGGTGTATTATTTATAAGCCGAATTTATAAGCTGAATTCTATAGTGCTTTCTAGGTTCACCAACTAGGCAACTTAAGCCAAAATATTTTATCAGACATAGGGTTTCACTGTGTGGCTCTGGCTGTCCTCGAACTCATTCTGCAGGCCAGACTGGCTTTGAACTCAGAGATCCACCTGCATCTATCGCCTAAGTTCTGGGATTAAAGGCATGCACCACCACTGCATGACACAACCAAAAGAAAATTTTAATTAAAAAAAAATCTTTTTTCCAAAACACTGTCTCTAGCCCATGTTGGCTCCAACTTTCTATGAGGAACAGGATGACATTGAACTTCTGGTCTTCTGGTCCCCACTTCCCAAATTCTGGAATTACAGGCATGTACCACCACCCCTGGCTTATGTGGCACTGGGGATCAAACCCAGGGCTTTTCACATGCCAGATACTGTTCCAGCTGAGTTACATCTCCAGCCTAAAAATTCATTCTATCAAATCCAGGAGCCAGAATACTCAAATCAAGGATCAGCAGAGTTCATTCCCGTTGGAATCTCTGAGGAGCGTTTGTTCCCTGCCTTGACCCTTCCAGCAGCAGCTGGCAATCACTGGGTTGGCATTCTGTCTGGTAGTTCTGTCACTACTATTCCCACACCTGGCCCACAGGATCTTCTCCTTCCTGTCTATGTTCACACGGCCTTTCCATCAGGACATGGTCATAAGAATTAGGGACTCTCCCTCCCCCGTCCTCATTTAACACGATCTCATCCTAAGTTACCTGATCCTGTTTTCAAATCAAGTAACAGTCTGAATATGAACCTGGGGGTACACTAGTCTACCCAATGCAATACCATATCGCTGTAACATGATATGCCACATTATGTGCAATGCTGTGGATGAAGCAAGACAGTAGTGAAAGAAGGCACAAAACCCCACAGAGTGTGATGTGACATTACCAAGTTCAAAATCAGAAGAACTGAGCTGTGGCATTTGAAAATATATGCCTGACTGACTGTTGAAACTAATATCATAAAATCCCAGCAGTGGGTTCTGCTACCTGCCTCAGTGTGTTTTATGTTCCCAAATGAAAAGCACACAAACAGTCTTTATATTTTAATATGCCTTAAACATCACAATAGCTGGGCCACTGCCTAACCTCCATGTGGTTAATCCTGAGCTATTACTTACTAATTCTATGTTCCATCTTGGCTGCCCTGGACCTGGTTGGACAGACCTCTTGGCTGCGCTCTCCTGGCTCCTTGATATGACAAACAGATGCAGGATAGGGGATTGCTAAACTCTGCCAAGACAGGGTAAGCTAGTCCTTCATAATTCCTGCTTTACTTAAGGTCTGTCAGATGTGCTGGGCCAGAAGGCTGAAGACAGATGCTCCAACAATATAAGGAATTAAAGGACTGTCCAGGCAGCCAGCTGTCTCTACAAATTGTATAATTTTGGAAGCTATGTCTTTGTGCTTCCTACATTTTCAGGTAATATTTAATCCTTTCTCAGATCTCTGACAGGATTGAAGACTAGTAACAGTCTTATAATCAAATATAAGTTGTTTAGCATTAAAGAAGACGTTCTAAATTTGAAAGGATGGTTTTCAGATGGCAATGGAAGTTAAAATCAAACATAAATGAGGTGAACTGTAAAGTCTTTAAGTTACATGATAGGATGCTTTATCTAAATTGCCAAATGTGATGGACTGGGTGTTATAAACGTATATTATACCTTACAATTTACATAATTGTTATAATTATGTTCAATGTATATCTGAGAGAAAAAAGGCCTTTTTAATTGGACAAAAAGGGAAAAATGTAGCTACTTGTTTTCTAATGCTAATTACACAAAAACAGTTTGTAAAGAATGTCTGCACATGGCTGCTGGGAACCTGCCCCCAGTTGGTTCTGATTGGTAAATAAAGATCTCAACAGCTGGGAAGGACAGAGAGGTGGGATTTTAGGATTCCCAGGCTTGGACCAGGAGAAGAAAGAAGGAGACTGTGGAGGAGAGGAGTGGTGCCATATCTGAGGAGAATGCAAGACAGAAAGGCATAGCCACCATGTGAAGGAGCTGGGAGAGGAAGAGTGTGGCCCAGTGGGCTGCCCAACTGGACCCAGGGCAGCCAAGATAGGGCATGGAATTAGTAAGTAATAACTCAGAATTATTGGTGGGAGGCAGGTTCTAAGAGCAGTGGAGGTTAGGCAGTGGCCCAGCTATTGTATTGTTTAAGGCATATTAGAATATAAAAGCTGTATGTGTGTCTTGCATTCAGAAACATAAACCATTGGGGTGGGTAGCAAACCACACAGATTTATTACAGCAGCTGACATTACAAAAAAAGCCAATAGTGGAAGGGAAAGAAGAAAGGGAATGTGAGAGGGTTTGGGAGTTGCTGGAACATTCTATTTCTTGATATGGCTACTAGTTACAGGACAGCTCAAATTTGAAGTTTCATTAAAGTATTTGTGTGCGTGTGTGTGTTTCAATAGAACAGGGGTGTTAGGATACCCAGCTGTCCTCTCTGGACTTGAGTGTTCCCTTCTACGAGGTGAGGAGGATGGATGTGGTGATCCCTGAAGGCCCATCCTGGGTACAAAAACTCATGATTCTGTGAGGAGACAATGCCCCTATCAGCATGAGAAGGGCTTGGTGGCACCTAATCAGACTTTAAAGTCGAAAGGAACCAGATTTGAGTCTTTACTTTTTTCCCCCCAGGGATCCTGGTCAGACTACATACTTTCCATAGTTGTAAAACATAGATAGTGAAGACCCCTCCTCACAGGCAGATGAGCAGATCAAGACGGGTGATGTACAGGATGCCTACAATCTAGAAAGCCACAGTAACCGGGACCCAGACAACTTGGCAAAAGCTAGGTGTGTCATTTCTAGAATATCAGTTGTGTAGCCAAGAATCTTTACAGAATTTTATTTTATTAGTTACTTTTAATTTATTCTTTAGATTTTAATTTTTAATTATGTATGCACCCTAGCTAGGGTTTCTATTGGTGTGATGAAACACCATGACCAAAAGTAAGTTTGGGAGAAAAGGGTTTATGTGACCTACACTTCCATATCATAGTCCATCACTGAAAGAAGGCAGGACAGGGCTCAAGCAGGGCAGGAATCTGGAGACAAGAGCTGATGTCAAGGCCATGAAAGAGTACCACTTACTGGCTTGTTCTCTATGGCTTGCTCAGCCAACTTTCTTTTAGAACCCAGGACCATAATCCAGGGTTGGCCCCACCCACAGTGGGCTGGGTCCTCCCCAATCAATCACTAATTAAGAAAATGTGTTACAGCCAACTCTTATGGAGGCATTGTCTCACTTGAGGCTCCCTTCTCTATGGTGACTCTAGCTTGTGTCAAGCTGACATAAACTAGCCAGTACAGTATGTTTGTGTGTCTATGCTTATGCGTACAGAGTCTAAAGAGGCCAGAAAAGATTGCCAAATGCCCTGGAGCTGGAACTACAGGCTGCTATGAATTATGGTTCTCTTCAAGAGCAGTATACACCCTGAATCATGAGTTATCTCTCCATTCCTACAAAATGGTCTTTAATTCTCACCTTGACTCTGTTAGGTCACCTGTCTCTTGAGTGGTTACAGATGATAACCTTGGGGCAAAGCAGGAGGGAATAAGTATTCCCATCAAAATGGTTCTTTAGAAAGAATGCTCTTCCAGGGCTGGCTCTGCCAGTCCCCAGTTCCACTCTGGGGTGAAAGGAACAGCTGGTTGGCACAATCCACAGTACATTCTTGAACCACAGAACAACTATGCCATTGATCAAGGAGGCTGATTTTTTTTTTTTTTAACAAACACAGAGAAGGTTACAGGGCACACTTTGGTCTATGACAACTAGGTTTGTTTCTCCTTTCCCTGTTTATTTGTTCTATGGAGGTATAGAGGGTCCAGAGAAGTTAGGGGACCCACATGAGGAAGGGCTCTCAGGCTGGAGCAGCTGATGGAATCCATTTTAAGGCCTTCTGTCCCCTTGGAAGAAAATGGAATTTTTTTTAAAAGCTGAGGCCTAGACCTGATGGAGGCTGGAGGGGTACAAGACCATGTGACTGGGCTCCTGTGACCAGCCAGTCCCAGAACTGGTGAGACACCATTATTTCCCAGACCTGTGGCTTCAACTCCAGTGTCCAAAATGCATAAAGGTCACTTTCAAGAATGGGATCAGGGACTTCGAGGCAACTGTTCTTGTGTGTGTTCAGGTGTGCTTTCAGCCTCCCTTAGTGTGAAGTTCTGGAGTTTGTTTTGTGTTAGTGTAGGCCTCCATGAAACCATGGGAAATAGGAGGGTGAATGGAAAGACTCCTCCCAGCTGTCAGATGACCCTGTTTCTCCTCTTAGCATGAAAGCAAACTGAGTGTGAGCTGAGAACTCTTCTCAGAGGGGGTCCACAGGCAGTTTGAGCCCCAGCTGCCTATGCTTCTGGGCAGGATTTCATCAAAAATCTTTTTGATCCCCTGGCAATGGGCAAAGCAATACTTTGTTGGTGATGTTGTTCTTACGTCAATCAGGGGCAGAGCAGTTGGTAGTCCTCTGTTCATCCTAGCTTGATTCCTGGCTTGGTGAGCAAAGCTATTGTATACCTAAAAATCAAATCAAATCAAATTAATTCAAATCAAATCCAGGCAGTGCAGCTCGGGAGGAGGAAGACAGACAGAGACCTGTGTTCCACCATTCCGTGTTCTGTGGTCAGGGAAAGACACCCACAGACCTGCCCTCCAGTGCAGGGCACAGACAGGCCATAGAACCTGATTGCTGCCATGCCATGTAACCCAGATGGAGAATGTCACCCAGGTGCCCTCCAGCTTCATGACCAGCCTGCCTCGGGAACCATCGTAGGTGACTGAGAAAGAGAAGTGGAGCAGCTTGAACACTGTGAAGAGAGATGGAACTGGGGACTTCAGTGTAGAGACATAGCCTGTTTTGAGTGGTGAGGTCCCAGCCTGGGCTGCTGCTGAGGGCCAGGCCTGGGTCTGTGGCTACACAGCAGCAGGGATCTATGGCTCATATTACCACTAGAGAACATGGGGATGTCCCTAGTTAGGGTAACTTCCAGGGGCCATGTGGACACGCAGAGGCTGGGTAGAACTGGCCCCACCCCTCACTGATTGTGCTGCTCTGGAGAGCTGACCCTAATCTTTCACCAGCATCAGTACTCAGGAGAGCAGGTCCTACGCCTAACCCAGGTAGCACAATGGAGCTAGCCCTGGCCTGGTAGCAGGGATGTGGGTGAGCTGACCCTAGGGCGTGAGTGTTGGAGAGCTGTGGTGGGGTGGCATAGGTGCACCTGTGGAAGTTACTAGAGCTGGCTCTGGGGTCATAAGAGCAGAGCAGGAGAGGTGGCCTTGCCCTTTGCTGCCTGCAGCACTCAGGAAAGTCAGAGGTGAAGATGAGCCAGCCCCAAGGGCAAAAGCAAGGGAGAACTTGTCCTGCCACTCATGTCCTGTGAGGTGGTGTGGGTGGGAGGGTGATTCTCTTCCCCCACCACACACACACCCTCACCATCTGCAATAGTCAAGAGAGCTGGCCCCAAGGGTATGAGAGTGCCCACTTATTTGCTGTAATACTTGGGAGAGTGGGCCCTGCACCCCGCCTGGACATCACAGTGGAGCTGGCCCTGATGAGGAAGGCATGGGTGAACCAGCCCTGAGGGTGTGAGAGCAGGAGAGCCGACCCTGCCTCCTGCCAATGGCAGCATTGGGTGGCTTAGCCAGAGCAGTTCTGGACAGCTTGCCCTGGTGGTGCCAAGAAGGATAAGCTGGTGCACTGGCCAGCCCAGGCCCAGCTCCAGAGCTCTGTGTTGGTCTACCCCCAAATCTATATAATCTGAGAATGGTTGGGGCATGTGAAAGAGCTGGTCCAGCTGATCCCAAAGTGCAGGATCCCCATGACACAGGGCAACAACAGGATAACTGCGAGGAGCCCCAATGAGCATCCAATACTGACAGTGTCACAGAAGCCAAAGATCTTAACCAGACCAATGACTCACTGCAATGAACATTTACAAGTGAAGACGTGTGGACAGAGGGATACACTGGAACACACTGTTACACACTGCAGCTTCCAGAAGATGGTTTCTATGCTTTGGGTCTTGTTGTTGGTAATTTGTGTGTGTGTGTGTGTGTGTGTGTGTGTGTGTGTGTGTGTGTGTGTGTGTTATTGAAAGGAAGTTTCGAGGGTGGAGGTAGATATGAGGGGACAGAGAGATGAGCAGGACTGAGGTACACGATATGAAACTCACAAAGTATCAATAAAAAGTTTTAAAAATGTGTGTTTATATATCTCTCTTTCTTTCTCCCCCCCTCTCTGCGTGTGTGTGTGTGTGTGTGTGTGTGTGTGTGCAGGTGATGTGCCCGTACACAGATGAGGAGGCCAGAGGAGCATGTGGGTGTCGTACTCCAGCACTCTCTGCCTTATTCCCTTGAGATAGTATGTCCCACTGAACTTGGAGACAGGCTGGTGACCAGCAGGCGTTACTGTCCTGGTCCTGACAGTACTGGAGTTACAGGTGCAGGGACAACCTAGAGTTGCACAAATAGCAATACCTAGACTTTTGTAATTGCTGTTGTATTTTTCTAGACAGGGTTTCTCTGTGTAGACCTGGCTGTCCCAGAACTCGCTCTGTAGACCAGGCTACCCTCAAACTCACAGAGATTCGCCTGCCTGTCTCCTGAGTGCTGGGATTAAACATGTGGGCCACCATGGCTAGCCACACCCAGCTGTTTATGTAGGTGTGAGGATCTGAACTCAAGTCTTCACACTATACAGCAACCAGTCTCACCCACTAATCCAGCTCTTTTTTTCCCTCTCTCTAAAAGAATCTCATTTGAAGACTTAAAATATATAAAATCTGTTGGCAAATAACCCCTATCAACTGTCTGTGCTATGTAGGTCATGGGCAGGCCACTGCCTCTATATAGGCCTATCTGATTTATGGCCAACCATGCCAAGAATATTCCACTGACTCTATTTTACAGTTAAGGAAACTGAGGCATGGGCTCAGCAGCCAACAGATAGAGCTAGAATCCAGAACTCTATGTGCTGTGGCTCTGTCTACCATGCCTCACCACACTGTGGTGCAATAATAGCACAATGGGAGAACGGGGGGAAGAAGCCAGTGAGTGTAGCCTTCTCACACTCGGATTTTACCATCTTCTCGTGACATCGTCTCTCAATGCCGCCTTTGCTTCACTGGTCATACTGATGATGGGAAAGCTTACTTTTGCGTGTGCCCATGGCTGGTAAGTCCTGAAGTATCAAAGGGGGCTAAGAGCTAGGAGAGTTGACTATTCCGTCGACTGGGTGAGTCCCTGAGAGAACCTCACATGGACAAGTCCCTTTGCCCTGCTATTTGTGTAGAGATTAAATATGACGTGTCCTCTGAAGTCCCTGGTTCCTGTTATTAACTGTTTTCATATATTTCATATATGAAATATTTCATATATTTAAAAAATGTCAGTCAGGGAGACTCACACCAGAGCAGGGGACAGGGTGAGTGTCTGGGCATTTGCTTGGCTGTGCTTTATCTCAGAGTTGGTCCATAACATTTATTTGATTCTCAAAAAGAGCTCACAACCCTCAAACATTTAAGAACCACTGCAATTAGAGTTGGTTTTTGACCCATGGTTACAAACCACCGAGCTAAGAATACATTTTGTGCACATATTCCTGGAGTCAAGCTGAGGGCTATTCAAACACACAGAACCTACAGTGCCTGCCTTTCAGACGTTCACATTTTTGAGTAGGGTTAAAAGAGTGTGCAGATGTGCTGGCGGGATTGTGTTATGGGGCAAGAAGGGATACGGTGGTTGAGGTAGGGACCAACATACATAAATGTTAGGATGATGTGGAGGGAGACAGAAAAAGCAGTCCTGTATTAAAATGATATGTACTCACTTTTATTTTATTTTCCTAAAGAAATATCTAATAGCCAGTTATTGATATCATCAGGCATTTGTTGTGTCCTCGTAGGCTACTCACTGTGAATGTGGGTTCCTATTTAATTCTATGACACTACCTCCATTTCCCACAGAAGAAAGCTGTGATTCAGAAAGATCCAGTGCCTTGCTATGCAACAAATAAATCACAATTTTCATTTATCTTTTAAAAAAAAATTTTAGACATTTTATCCAACCCGGAGAGAAGAGGATTAAGATGCTCTTGACAGGAAGTGACAGCAGTCCACCTGAGCTGAAGGGGAAAATATCTGTTCGTTAGGGAGGCTGCAGGCACAGTGGGCTCCTGGCAGGACGCACGAAAGGCTTTGCTGCAGTCTCTGTGAGTCCCTTTGTCCTGACATATTCATGTTCTTATATCTACCCAGGGACCAGTAGGGCAGAAGTCTGAGGAAACCATCCTTTTCAGACCTAGACTTAGTAATTTAGAGAAATCACTGGGAACAGTCTCTTCTTGGTTCTCTCAGGAACAACGAGATATTTCCAGAGGTTCAAGACAATTCTCTGAAGTTTCCAAGTCAAGGGTGTGGTCTGATAGCTTCTAAGAGGCATGTGTCATGGTTTGAAGATGCCCCCTGACCCCAACATGCTGGGGCATTGGGAGGTAAAGTTTACTTTAAGGCTCCTGAGGGCAAAGTTAATTGGCCAAAGCCATCACAAGATTAGGTTCACCACAGTGGTAATAAGTTCCTGTAAAATAAGGAATTCTTCTTCACCCGCTCCCTCAAAATAATGACTTCCTTTAGCAAGTATTAACCTTGTCATTGAACTTCAGTTTTCAGAATGGCAAGGTTAGAATTTCTGCCGTTTTCATTCAGCCAGCCCATGGGATTCTGGAGCAGCATCACAGGGCAGGCCAGGGGGCACAGGTTAGTCCTGATGGCTTTATGAGCCTCGTGGAAATGGAATGGCCTAAAGAAAAGTCAACCCTGCAAAGTAGGGGACTTTGAAACAGGAAATATTGGGGTTCAGGCTAACCTCTTGGCTTCTCCTGAACTGTGCCTCAGTTTCCACTTTTATGATGACTGTAGTAGCAATTACTTCACAGGCTGTCCTGAGGAGTGGGTGATACATACAATATTGATGAGACCAGCTTTGGTTTCTTTTGTCAAAGCATTCAACTCTAACCTTGAAGAAATGGAATAACTTGGTAGGAGCTGAAGGAGACCCCTTGTCCTCTCCCAGCACAAAGATGGACATGTGACTCAATGGAGTGGCTACAGGGGACCAGGAGGGCTTTGCAAAGAGCTAGTGCTGCTTCATCCTGAGGACTTCAGACAGAAAAGACTACTTGTCCGTCTCTTCTCTGGACCCTCCCAGCTGCTGTGGTATTGTCCTTTCTCAGATCTGTGAACTGCCCAGGGCCCCTTTATCTTGGACTCCCTAGGAATAGCAAGTGAGGTGGGAGCTGTAGATAGTTGTAGGATCGTTCATGCCTTTGGGTGAAACTCTAATGGCAGAGAGAGCAGACCAGGGAGGAAGAAGCCCAATGACGATGTCTCAGGGCTTCAGCCCAGCTTCAAAGGCTGTAGGTGTGAGTGGCCATTTTGACCCCCATATTTGTCAAATGGGAGCCACAGGGTAATCCCCCAGGGAGGGGTCTCTTTTGGCAGAGGGCGCATTTCTGGAGACTGGGATAAT